ACTTAATTGTGGACCTCCATTAACCGCAAAAGAAATTTACAGGAGGACGTGACATGCCGAAACATATAACTTCCGCTGTGAAACCTTTGAGAACCTTTCTTTCATTCAAGGATTTTAATCTTTTGAAGTCGCTAGCCCCATCGGCTCGCTCCTTTTTTAATTTTATGACTGCCTGTTATTTTCCTTGTTTACATGTTACTTAGTTTCCTAGTAGCAAGAGAAAAATACCAGGCTGAGTAGATTCTGTATCGACAGTTGTATACCTGTCAACTTTTTCTGAGATGTAGGCGTGAGATTTTTATCCTGGGAGTGCTGGGATTTTTGAAAACGACACGATCATTTCCGAAGATTCCCGAAGAAGTCCGAAGTCTTCCGAAGACGTCCGAAGTCTGCCGAAGACGTCCGAAGGCTGCCGAAGGCTGCCGAAGGCTGCCGAAGGCGAAGTTATCGAGAAAACACCTATCCACAAAATCAGAGATCGCGAGGAAGGTATTGTCATTTATTCATTTTACACATGGTTTTCGTTCGTTACATGGGTCTGAGTTAACATATTTTTGGAAATTGTGTCCGGCAAGACGACAACAACTCACATTTTTCAATCAGGCGTGAGAAATTGGTCCGCAGGCGTGAGCGGGCGTGAGATCGAAGTTTTCAACCCGCAGGCGTGAGACTCACGCCTAAGGCGTGAGAGTTGGCAGGTATACAGTTGTCGTATAATTGTGTGAATGAAACCCTCAGTATGTTAGGTACACAACAGTAAATTTCGCTTTTAATTCGATTTCATTCGTGTTGAACATCTCGTTTTTTTGTTTGATATGTCCACTTGAAATATTTGCCGTTGAGATTGTATGTTATCAAAAGCCATTTTCATCCACAGCCACATTAATTTGGCTTTTAAAAGTCCGTTCATAATTCGCGACCTCAGATTACAGCCGCCGCGCAAGCGAAAGATGTAGTCCAGGCGGTGTGCGTCACGACCCACAGAGGTTCATGGGTAAAACTGTTACTGAGCCTCATTTCAACAGTCCGGAATATCCCTAAATTTAAGGGCAGGGCCAACTGGTCACGCGCCACTTTTTAACCAATGAGAAGGCGCGCTTGTGTTTATCAACAAACAAATCAAAACATCGCCCCAGTGATCAAAAATTTTCAAAACAAGGGACGGAGTCGGACAGAATCAGTCATCGTTTCGAGCTTCTCAGGCATATTTTTAAGACTTTCATGAGGCATAGACAATTTTTTTAAGTGGACAGCGTATCGGAAGCTATATTGGAAGGGTCTCGTGAAATATTCAGCACATTTTGTGGTTTATTCTTCTTTTATCTTTTAAACAACGCGATGTATCGGAGAGATTTTGGTCGGCTTTCAAGGTGTACTGTTTGGTTTATATGTATGTATTTATCTCATGCTGAAAGAGGTCTGTAGTTCATACCTGGATTTGCTTAACTAAAAAATAATTCGTCCATTTATAGAAGTGTTTTTATATTTGATGGACTTTGTTACCGGCAAAGCAGCTAGGGGAGCGCGTGCAAGCAGCAAGGTGAGAAATCGTCTCTCATAACAATTTTATTTTCATCGACAAGTTTATACTATTTTGAAAATAGTGCCCGTTTGAAATCCTTATGCGCAAGTAAATCTTCTATGAGGCAAGGGGAAAACAGACCGAAAGAGCCGAACAGCTGCGGCACAATCGGAATTTCACCGAAGCTACAGTCGCAGAAAAAAACAGTGAAATAAACCACGATCTTGTCTGTGCGGTCATTGAAGTGAGCGCAGTATATCGAATTTGTTATAAAGTAAAACCTAACCTCACAGTTTTAAAATCCTTTATGATGTTGTCTGGATCTTCGATAATGGTTTTGTGTTTTGGTAGAGATTTATAACAATTTATTCCCTTACATAAGTTTGCACAAAGATTTGCATACACATAGCACACACCGCATGCAAATTACTTTAAGTCACGCTTTCAGTTTCCGCACTGGGTTATGAAAAATGTTTTTTTTTTCCAAAAGTTATTACAATATTCAAACTTATTTACCTTTTGTGGTTTAAAATAGCACAAACTCTTCCTGGATTTGGCGTTACTCGCTTCACGTCGGCTTTCGCTTCGGCTTGTTTTCTCAGCCAGTTTCCCGGGAGTTGTGCCACTTGGCTAAGACGATGTCTTAATTCCAAGACACTTTCAACGGCTCATAACGGGAAAACTAACAAGGGTAGACCCGGGTAGACCCCGAAATTTGCAAAGAAGAAAGGTTGAAGTAACAAGATGGCCAAAATAATTCGATAAAACCGCTAACAGTAACCAGCAATAAATCCAAGAAGAACGGCAAAAACAACACTCAAATCATCATGGCGGCCTGCACATAACTGAGCAATTCAAACTTGTCACAAACGCTCAAGAAAGCAAAATATTTAAAAGTAACGCAACTGCTATCAAGATAAAGTGTTCCAATAACTTTCCACGGCGGTATAGCGTCGAAATTACCAACACAAGCTTGGAATAAAGCGAAAATTTCACCACATATACCTCTGAAAACGGCTCTTTCCGAGCGCGAAAATCATTCTACAAATGACGCATTCTGATTGGTCGAATCTCGTGACGCACACCGCCTGGATGTAGTCCGTGTTCGATCTGTAACACAGTTGGAACAACATACTTTTTACTTCAAAATTAACTGTGGGATGATGCAGTGTGGTCCTTTGTGGAATTAGTAAAAAGCTCCAAAGCATTGCACAAGTGAGTTAACCAGTAAAGTAAAGTAACTAAAGAGCTTGATTTTTCAATATTTATTTACCCGCTGTCGAGGGCCGGGACTGGGTTGTTCGTGATAAAACTTATGATATGCAGCCAACTGTCAAGATTACAAGTAAACTTGAAGACGTCGCCTGAGTGTATCACCTTTTTCTTTTTGTTATTAGGCTTTAAGCGGGTATTTTTAACCCGATAGAAGATCAGAACTATCATCAGATAACTCTTCCACACTGGTTACCGCCATTGTTGGCAGCAATTCAAATCCCGCTTCTGTGACTCAGCGTGTGACGTATGATCATAGCTCTGCTCTGATTGGATATTACTGAGAAGGCGTGGAAAATATTCCGCGAAAGCTATTTCTATAAATAATTTTTCGTCGGAAAAGGGTTGACTCCAAGGGCCTATGTGGGAGATGGAGGCTCCAAGTAATCGGCTCCTGGTAAATAAAGTAAATTTGTCGAGTTTTCAACTCAAAAACTTATTAAAATTCGTGCTTGTGTGATTAGCGCGCGAAGAGCAAAACATCTTGACTGCACACATGTTTACATACTCTCATGCAAACACATCTCTCGGCCAATCAGAGCGCGCGTACTATCTTAGTTATTTATAAACTTTGTTGTCAGCTGTGTAGTAGTCTTTACGGCCTGTTTACACGGAGGTGGGGGACCCCAGATAGGTGAGGTAACATGCGGCGGGTCACCTCACCTATTATGAAAACATGATCAAATTAAAATGAGAGATTATGTGGACAGGAGGGTTACCAACCAAAGCGGGCTACCTCTCCTACCTGGGGTCCCCCAGGTTGTTATCAGCTATGCAGTAGTCTTAAGGGCCTGTTTACATGGAGATGGGGGACCCCAGGTAGGTGAGGTAACCCGCGTTGGTGGGTAACCCGCCTGTCCACATAATCACGTTTACATGATAGGCGGGGTGACCCGCCGCACGTTACCTCACCTATCTGGGGGCCCCCACCTCCATGTAAAAGACTTCTCGTTTCTTGTTCTCAATATTTTAGCTGCTTAGATCTCTTTTCTAGAGATCCAACGTTGACAAGCAACAGGATCTTCGTCCACGGTTTTTGCAGTAAATTTCTTTAACAAAAATGAAGTAGGAAAAACTTTTTAAGGGTTACTAGTTTTTTTTTAGTTTTGTACCTTTACAAGCAATTTTATTTGTAAAGTCAAGTTACACAGTGCATAAGGCAATGTACCGAAGCTTATTAAATTCTTTCTCCAAAAATGCGGCGCTTATTTGAGGGCGGCGCTTAAAATGATAGTAATACCTCTTTGTACCGTATTTACGCTAATAAAAATCCCCCCACATGCGGCGCTTCTTTGAGTAGTTACTGTAATTTGCAACTTTAAAAGAGTTTATTACATTTAGGACAAAATGTTATTACATTTAGGACTTTATTACATTTAGGGTCGTTTATTACATTTAGGCCTTCTACACGCGAAAAGTTTCCTCCCTTTTATTTTCGTGTTTGCGCTTTCTCAATTCAGCGGACCCGACTATCTCGGAGCCTGGAACAGGCTAAGCATTCAGTGACCTTGTAGCAGGGATTTCCGCCGCTTTGCACTAGACTTTTGTTCGTAGTAAATGCGCTAACAGTGTTTCTCAGTTTTTGTTATATTGAATGCGAATTATTTGCTGTATTTATAAAGATTTTGTTCGACAACTGAAGGCGTTTCTGCCGTCCTTCTGTCATTTGTGTGCCTGTGATACCCTTGTCCTCTGTCCCCGTGCCTGTGATACCCCTGTCCTCTTCGTGGGGCATTTGATCACCTGAATGGACCCTAGTGTGGGGCATTTGAACGGCATTTTGGCCCGGCTAGGGGGGAATTTGAACAGTAATTTTCAAAAAAGTCAAATGCCCGGGGGTTGCCCGGGGTGGACGTTGAAGCTTCGATCTGACCGATATATAAAGCCACTCTTTATACCCCGATAAAAAACTTCCCGCTCGGTTATTAAACATTACTTAGAATTTCATCTTTCTACTGTCTACGTATAATCAAGACTCTTGGTATAATCTAAACGTTTACATGCCTGCAAATATTACTTTTTCTCATAGCAAAATTAAAGTTGATAGAGCCTAGTGCAGTTGTCAAATACTGAATTTGCACAGACGTTATTGATATTAAAGTGTTGCATGTTTACCGTTATAAAAAGTAATAGTACACGTCAAGATGGCTCTTGTATATATCAATGACTCAGCTGAAAATCCTTCATATCGCCTCTTCATCTTCAGTTATTTCTTCGCGATTCCACACTTCGTTGCAACCTTCGTCTCCGCGTCTAAAACTTTACGAAACGTCGCGAACCTGTTATAATAACATGATATAAATTTAAGTTTTTGCACTTAGACAACTTCCGCACTGCGCATTCAAAACACGTAACATTGTCTTGTCCCCGGCTTTGTTGAGAACGTTTAATGCATCCTCTCCTCTCGTCTCACTGAAATGACGGTTAATCGCACAAATTAACAAATAAAGCGAATTGATCGGATAGCGCTCTCCATTTTGCTTGGCCACTTCACAAACGAACTTGCTCAACCAAAAGTTTAGCGTATTTGGGGACATGTGCCAGGGGCACCCAACGACTGTTTTCTGTGAATTATTTGTTCTGAGAAGCAAGAAATTTCTAGATGATTATTCCATTCAGGTACAACTTTCGAAGCTTATCTAATAAATTGCCTACGATTTTCTGAAGTTTAATTTCTCACATTTACTCCCCAAGCCCATGTTAGGCTGATTTTAAGGAAAAAGGAAACCTAGCTAAAGGTTTTCGGATTCAAAAATGAGTTGGAGAGAGGAATAAGAGCAATTCTCACTTTCGCAAAACGGTCAGTTGAATCTAAAATTTTGGGGGAAAATAATTGGCTGTCAGAGGCCCTTGTAATTTCGAAAATATTCGATTTCCCCTAGGATGACCGAACAAATATGTACAGCCCCTGAAATGATCCCCAAATGGACCCCGAAATGATCCCCATCTCTCTGATCTTCACGTCGACCCCGAAATGATCCCCAATTAATTATAGAAATGGAATGATATCCTAGAACAAAATGCAAAATGCACAAAATCGCAACTTAAGTTTCACTAATAATCTTCACTTATCCACATTCTTTAATGACATTAATTTGGGATTAGACTTTGAAATGGATTAAACAAAATATTATTTAATACACAGTCTAGTATATTTTTGGTAACACCATGAACTGCAACTGATAACATCAAGAAACATAACATTTTATTATTACAGGAGCCGGTGATTATAGCCCGGGTTATAGAGAAAACTGCATGCCTTGAATACTGAATTTTAAAAATGGTGTTTTAAAACTTTTTAAAATTTTAAAATGATGTTCAAGATGAGACATAAAGGCGATTAGATGACAAAAGCGCTAAAAAATCACATAAACTGTAGTGAAATGTTAAATGCGATTCAAGAACGTAAACGCTGCAACAGACTTGAAATAATTCCGTGACGGAATACCATTCCATTCCAATAATTAATTGGAGACCATTTCGGGGTCGACGTGAAGAGAAATGAGGATCATTTCGGGGTCGATTTGGGGATCATTTCGGGGGCTGTACAGATACAAATTTCATAGCGCCGCTTAAGCCGGTTTCCATACGCCCCTTGCCCAGCTGCCGATAATGATCCAATTAATGGGCAATATGACATTAATTGTTCTTATTTTGTATAGATCGGGATAATGATTATAATTTAGGAATGAATGTTTCACATGACCTTGTTTTTAATAATCAGTTGTAAAATTATCAATTAAGGGAGGCTAAAACTATTTCAACTTTCAAGAAGAGGGTTTCCTCTCTTTTCTGACAGAGAAACAGTAATTATATAGTTTTAAAACTGTTTTAGTGGAATATTTTACTCTTATTGTTATTTATTAAATTTTACTCGACCATGTAATGTAGCTCTTTTTATTACATCGGGAACGTCTCTAGTATGGCTTGTAAGCTAGCGATTTTGTATGTTTCCCGTTGACAGGATGTAATTTTGCTGTAATTATTTGTGGAGTGAATGTTGATAAAATTAATAAAGGTTCAAAACTTACACATTTTTACGTTTACTTGTCTTTCAGAAGACATGTTTATCACGGGAAACGTACAGAAGGTTACGCAAGCCGTCGAAGTCATCTCTATTGGGGCTGTTGTTGCGAAGTTTCTTCTCAAGACCAATCGGGTTGAAAAAACCATCCAGTTAGCCGAGGAATGCCTCATTGTCCTGAACAACACGGTGCTGAGGGAAAATTCCAAAATATTCAATGTATTCTATATGGACATAAGTTTTATATTCTTCGACGCTTATCGTTATATTTATGATTACACAAGAGCAATTGAATGGGGCGAAAAACTTCTTCAGGTCACGGTCCAAGTATTTGAAGAATCTAGTGATCAGTTAGGCTCAATAGCTTTGGGACTTGCAGTTTTGTATTTAAGGCAACTTAAATATGAGAAAGCAAAGGAACTGTTGGAGAAAGCACTGCGCATCAAGCAAAAGACTGGCAACAGAGACGATGAAGCAACGTGTTATGGATTTCTCGGGGTAGTCTTTCATCATCTTGGGCAATACTTTAACTCTAAGAAATACGTAGAAAAGGCACTTGAGATAAGGAAAGAAATTGGTGACAAAATGGGAATAGCTGCATGCTATGGAAACCTAGGGATTATATTTAAAGCACTCGGAGAGTATGACAAGGCCCTAGAATATATTCACGAGTCAATTTTGA